CGCCGGCGCCCCCGGCTCACAGGAAAGTCCCTGTTCTTGAAGCGCCGAGGCGGGATCTGAGGACGGTCCGATCCGCCGAACGGGTCCGACACACGACTGGGCTTCTGCTTCCCGAGCTCCGGGGGCAGCATGCCTCTGGCTGCAGACAGAACCGCGTTTTTTCTCCAGTGCGTGACGTTCAGATGCGCTGCGGAGCCCCCGCCGCTCGCTCCATGAATCTTACTGCTGCTTTGGTGTCTCAGCTGCAAACCTCGGGAGCTAAACGGTCTTCAGTCGTGTTTCCTGGGTTGTGTAGTTTCTCTGCTCAGCGGGAGCTCCTGATTGGCATTCTCCTTGCATCTGTCGACCAAATAAGAGGCTTACCGAGCCCGGCACCATATGAAGCTCCAAGGCTTTCCAAGTGAAATCATACAAGCTTACTGAAATCCTTTATCCCCCAGAGGGAAATACCTCACCTTCTTTACCCATTAAATAATTGGAACTTCAGTTTGAACCTTTACCTTCACATGGCGGCTCTTTTTAAAACAAAAGTTAGACATTTTAATTTATTTTTCTGCGTGCATTTGATTTTTTCTTGTTTATTTATGTCCATAAAATGTTACAACAACCTATTTTTAAACCGATTTTTTAAAATTGAATTTATCTATTTATTGTAAATCACGGGAGACGCATTGGTCCAGTAATAAAAGCAGACAATGCAGTAAAATGCGACGAGGAAGAGTTCTGTCGCCCTCTAGTGGTGAAAGTACGTCACATGCGCTGCTTAGGGATAGATGGATGGATAGATGGATGGAGGGATGGATTGATGGATAGAGGGAGGGAGGGATAGATGGAGGGATTGTTTAAATGATTACATGACCATGTGCAAAGAATTATCATATTTAATGAAATAATTTGTCCATCCATCCTCTGCACTTCCTGTTCAGGGTCATGTCCTGTGCAGGTCACCAGTCCATCAAAGGTCAAACACAGACAAAGAATGTGTACATTTTTTATGGAGGCTCCACCTAATCAAGGACCCATATTTTGAAATGTGAGAAAACCCATGGCTGCATGAGAATTACACGAAAGCTCAACACAAACACCCATGAACAGTTGGAGTCACCTCAATTCACGATGACCACCATAGCTAATCAATAGAAGCAACACAAAAATGGCTATAACTCAATTTTAGACATATGAGTGAACATTTGGTGTGGTTATTGCTGAAAGTCACCTCCAACATCTTCTCTGAGCTCAAACTCATCTGGCAAGAATGTTTTTTTTTTTTTTACTTCATTGTCTCAGAGTATAACAAGAAAGGCAATTTACAGACAATGAAGGACAAACAAGTGTTGAGACTGGGCTCAACAAACACATGTCAAAACAAACAATAGGCTGTAGAAGGCTGCACAGAAGATGTTGGAGTCAGTCTCGGTGGCTCTGGATGTTTCTACTCCAGACTCAGTCCACTTCTTCCGCAGGTCCCCCAAGGTATGGAATCGGCCCTTCTCCACAATCCTCCTCAGGGTCCGGTCACCTCTTCTCGTTGTGCAGCGTTTTCTGCCACACTTTTCCCTTCCCACAGACTTCCCACTGAGGTGCCTTGATACAGCACTCTGGGAACAGCCTATTCGTTCAGCAATTTCTTTCTGTGTCTTACCCTCTTGCTTGAGGGTGTCAATGATGGCCTTCTGGACAGCAGTCAGGTCGGCAGTCTTACCCATGATTGTGGTTTAGAGTAATGAACAAGGCTGGGAGTTTTTAAAAGCCTCAGGAATCTTTTGCAGGTGTTTAGAGTTACGTCGTTGATTCAGATGGTTAGGTTAATAGCTTGTTTAGAGAACCTTTTCATGATATGATCATTTTTTGGGATTTTGGGTTTTCATGAGCTGTATGCCATAATCATCAGTATTAAAACAATTAAAGACCTGAAATATTTCAGTTGGTGTGCAATGAATCTGAAATATATGAAAGTTTCATTTTTATCATTACATTATGGAAAATAATGACCTTTATCACAATATGCTCATTTTTTGAGAAGGACCTGTATATGCAGGAAGAGAGCCACCTGCATCATGAAGGACCACACTCACCCAACACACACATTTTTTGCCCCCCTCCCCTCAGGAAGGAGGTTGAGGAGCATTAAGTGTAGAACCACTAGACTGAGGAACAGCTTCTACCCTGAGGCTGTTAGACTCATGAATCTTTAACCAGAATAATCACTGTGAAAAATCACATCATGTTGCTGCTGATCTGTTTCATGTTGCTGCTGGTCTGTTTCATGTTGCTGCTGGTCTGTTTCATGTTGCTGCTGGTCTGTTTCATGTTGCTGCTGATCTGTGTCATGTTGCTGCTGATCTGTGTCATGTTGCTGCTGATCTGTTTC